CAGTTTATTTTGTTACTAGCACTACTGCATTATTCTGATTAGTTTTATCAAAAAAAATTTCAAGTATATTATTGGTAACTAATGTATCTCGTTTTTTGTCCTTATGCTGGATAATAATGTTAATCTAAGATCATTTTTCTCTTTGAAAGCTGGGATTATATGAGCAAGACCATGTTTGTGTGCATCTTCACTGATGAACTGGCTGACCTTGAGCCTTTGGATTCACTGAGCTTCACATTTTATTCATTTATTTTTAATCTGTGGAGAGACTTTTGGGTCTGTTCTGTCCAGATGTAATAATTTCCTTGTTTTGTGCTGGCATAGTGTACACTGTATAGATAGCATTGTTTTGGAGTTTAGTTAGTCAGTTGACCTCTTTGTGAATTCAATTTTTTTCCTTAAGCAAATCATAATCTTTTTGCAAGGCTAGGTGTTCTCTTTCTTTTTTTTTTTTTCTTTTTTCCCTTTTTTTTTTGGTTTTTTTATTTTCTTATAGATATTAGGTGAGTTCATTCAACTTGTCAGGAGGGGAAGAAGCAAAAGATATCTTTTATCTTATAGTTTCTGTTTGGACATTCTTATTCTTGCAGGTGCCAGAGGAGCTCTCAATGCCCAATGTGCTGGCAACCTATCAGCCTGAAAGACCCATCCAGGTTTGTATTTAATTTGCTACCTTACAGGGTTCTCCTCTGAGCATGTTCTTGGTAGTTTAAACCTGTTAATTATTTCTCTTGATTTGGCAGCCAGGAGTTGCTTGAGGCCGTTGAAAGGGAGAGGAATTTCAGGTTCAATCCAACAAGAAATGCAACCATATTTCATCATCCTACTCTGGGGGATTTTGAATTACAGCATGTTTGTATTTCATCTTCTAGCTTGATGATAGATTATTTTTTTCATTTTTTTTGTTTTCAATTGGAACTTGAAAGTATAGGATCATGTTTATATGTTTGACTCCAACACAGCTTCCAATGGGTGCAAATGATCATGAACTTGAGGAGCGTATAATCCAGCACTTGGCTGCTGCTGCTGCAATGGGTCGAGCACGTCATTTTGCTAGGAGGGAAAACCAAAGGAATAGGTCATCAGCTCAAGGACGTCCTCAGTTCTTAATATTTTCAGCTCAGTCTAATGCACCTTCTACTGGTCCTGGATCTTCTTCTCCAACTCAGGGAGGTGATCGACCAGCCCCTGCGATCATAATAGGTACTCCATCTCCCCCTCCAACAACTGTGGGAGAAGAATCTACTGAGCCAATGACTCAAATGCCTTCTGCCCAAGCTGATCAGATATCTGCTTCAGCATCTGGCTCAAGTACTCTTTCAGCCAACCACCATCTACATTCATTGAACAATAGGTATTTATTTACTATTCTTTAACTCAACTCTCAAGTTTATTCCTCATCCATCTTCTGTTTATTTAGATTATGAGAATATCTTTATGCTATTCTTGCAGGAGGTCTCCAAATCAGCCGTCTCCAAATCGGTCATCTCCAAATGGTCAAGATAGAGCAGGACCATCAGAATTCCAGTCGTTTTCAGAATCTCTCAAATCCAGATTAAATGCTGTTTCGATGAGGTATCAATGATATGGCAGCTTTTTTCATAGTTTGAACTATAGTTATAATCTGATAGTTCTGTTTAGATTGTTTTCTTTCATGATCTCATACCATGCCCTCTACTTTTATACTTTTTAGATACAAAGAGTCAATTTCAAAGAGTACAAGGGGGTGGAAGGAAAGATTTTTCTCACGCAATAGTTCAATGGCAGAACTTGGTTCTGAGGTAAAGAGAGAGGTTAACGCTGGAATTGCAACGGTGTCACGCATGATGGAGCGTCTAGAGACCAGGGATAACACAACCACCACCCCTGTGTCAAACAATTCAGCGGGTAGTTCTGCTTCAGATTCAAATAACAGGAGAATGTCAGATGCTAGGGGAGGCAATACTGTCACTGGCACCAATGTCCAAGCTTCATGTGCTGCAAGTTCCAGTTCAGATTAAGATTTATTTCATCGACTGCATCTTACATAAATCATTTTATCTTCAAAGGCAAGATTCTTGTTGAGTTGGATTGTCTCTATGTTCGCTTAATTTGACATCTAATGCCTTGGCCACTCTTGCCTGTTGTTGCCACTTTTGACAGTGATTAGCTTTATGAATTTAATAAAGTAAAACCATCTTAGTATATTAGTCAGTCCAAACAATGAGATTCACCAGTAATTATTAGCGAATGGATTATAGTTCTAGCTCTTTGCTTTCTGTTTGCTATTGTTAGCCCCCATTCATATTTTCTCTACCATTTCATATTTTGCCATATCATGTTGCATTCTCACGAATGAGGCCCCTCTGATATTTGGATGGAATTTATTCCTCTTTCAGATGTGGAAATGGAAGCAGATGGATGAAATTGATGAAGAATAAAGAAAGCTAGAAACAGGAGGCCTCCTCCACTTGGATATATGAATGAGTAGATGATTGTATATCAGTTTAATTTATATATATATATATATATATATAAATGTTCTTTCTTTTTTTGGAGCCCTATTTTGTAGGTGCTGCAATATTTAAGATCTTTATGCACACGTTCAAACAAATTCTAATAGGCTCTTTCATGAGGATAATACTAATAATTTTTAGCACGTTTACGTATTGGGTATTTCGACTTTAACCTCACATTACATGAACTTCTTTGAAGACTTTAAATGCATGTACCAGTAGATTGTAGCTTGTTCATGAACTCTGCCCAGGTAATCTTGTGCGTTATCATCACATGCACAGACAAAGCACTCTATTTATTTGCTACATGGGGGGTTTGGTGTTGGATTTCTTGGCATTGGTTTTCATCAAACTTTTCTATAGGCAATGCAACTAAGTAGAGGATTGCAGTACCTTGTGAATTGTTTGCAGCATCTTATGAAATGTTTCAAAATCCCTCAAACTCTACTGTAAACTTTCCAACATAAAGCGAAAGTATGGAATCGATCATTCCATTTTCAACATTGAAGCATTTCATCATATTATTGAGGAAACTAAAACAAAGTCATGGTACTGCTTTCAACATCAAACCAGGTTCATGGGCGCTCATGGCACTTCTTTTCCCACCACTCCAAATACTTGACCTGTGCAGCCATTGTGTCCAACCTATAAAGTTGATAATAGTGGTTTGCAATTTCCTGTCCAAATGTCCAACCAAAAACAGCTCCTGCTAGGAAGGACAGTCCGGCACCTGTAAAATAAGGAGTCAGAACTCAGTCATGATAACTAGGTTCTAAGAATGATTTTCTAAGGTAGTGGCATCTCATAAAGAGAAAATTTTGCTGCAAAATATTTTCATGAAAGTGTATTTTGTATTGCTGAGCCAGAAAATTCCATACCCAACACATTCAAGTAAGTTTCTGCTCATTGGCTTTGTTTATAAATCCTTGTAACTGAATTGACAACAAGATGGAAGTATCAACCTCTGGAAAAACAAACCTTAGGGTCTATTTAAAACAAGATGAACCAAAACCCCTAATTAACCCTTATTTTTAAATTGTTCCTATTAACTAACTTCCTTTTGACCAAGATTCTCTTAGTTCTGTCTTCCCATCTTTCTCTAAACTTTTTAGCAATTTGCATCCTAACTATTTTGATTTAATTTGTATTTTCTCTTTCACTTGTTTGCATCTGTTTCCTTTTTAGACACACACACACACAGAGGAGAAGAGAATGAAGAGAACGTCATTGGAAGCCATGCAATCAGTAAACAGTATTAGATATGTTTGTCTTATCATTACACCCTCATGCAATCATTAAAGAATGCATGTCTCAATTTCTTTACCAGTTTGGCACTGCAATCTGCAAAAGGTGCTTCCTCTATTTATTCTCATTGAAACAACAATAAAATCAAGCATAGGCAGCCTAACAGAAGCTAAAACATGATTGATTCAAAAGGCAAACTCATCTATTTCCATATTAAAGTATTAAACAAAGAGAAAGAGTACAAGTAAAACAAGCAAAGATTAAGGTTGCTTATTTATCACATCAATCATGCTTTGTATTTTTCACTCAAACTAGCTTTTAGTATACATGTCATAACCAAACAGAACAAGCAGTAGTTACCATGTAAACTCCTCGAGTACTTCCATGCAACACCTGCAGTTGATACTGCTCCAATGGCACTTCCAGCCATCCCAAACTTTACTGTCTCCCTAGCAGTCTTCAACTGAAAAATGGAAATAACAAACCCTTCATTTTACAAAATAAGTACGCTGTGAAGCACAATCAGAGCCAAAATGAACATTTATCCAAATGAATCTGCCAACTGCAAGCCACCAAATTCCTGGACGGGCTATTACACCCACACATAAATTGTAAATCGAATTAACTAATAAACTTAAGATTCAAACTTACACCTTCTCAAAACTTAAAACAGATCTATAATGAGACAAAAACACTTGTTACCAAGTGAAAGCAAGAAAGCAATCCAGTATCTAATACAATCCACTCAGCCATGTAGAAATAGTACCCACCCACTAACTTCAAAACCTGAAATCCAAGGTTAAGATCAAGGGTCCAATCCAAACCTCTGTAAAAGCTAACACCAACTCCTTCACCCATTAAAAATGAATCATTTTGATGATTTGAAATGGCATGTCAAATCTGTCCAGGAAAATTAAAATTACCCAGAAAAATTGTTAAGGGGAAATCACAGCAAATTACAATCAAACAACATATATCACAAAAAGTTAAAAGCAGGGAGGCACTAGAAAATAAAAAAGACCTAAAATCAAATCCTAAAAAAAGAAACCCAACCCCAGGCACGACAAAAGCACCAAATCGAGAAGAGAAGAGAAAAAGAAAACAAATTGAATGTGAGATATGCGCATAGAGAGAGAGAGACAAAGCAATTACAGTGGGACCGTGAACGGGATCGGAGGCGATGAACTCCTCCACATCGGAGCTGGACCAGTGGGGAAGCGGCGTCTCACGCTGGACAAATCTGGCATAGTTGTCTAGGAAAGAAAACCTTTCGGACCAGAACTCCTTGAACCCTTCCCAATGCTTCTTCACGAAAGTCTGCGACTCCTCCGCCATTTCTGCGCTCTCTAAAAACCAAACTCAAATATCAGACAAAGATAGTCATACATATATTACTTCAGATTCCTCCTGATGTGATGGATGGATAATTGGGCATGACCCGTGCTCGCCACCGGCGACCTGCTCTCTCTACAGTCAGAGGATTACGGTTTTTCGTGCAGTGACCAATCGTATTTCAACACGTCTACAGCTTACTAAACCAAATAACCAAAAAATAATAATTGAAATTTTTAAAAAAAATTATTTTATAGTATAAACTATAATGAATTATATAACCAGAAAAAAAAATGTAAGTTCATTAATATTAAAAAGTATTTTTTATTTAATTATTTTTATTTTATAATTTAATATAATTTAAATTATAAAATAATAATATTTTTTCATTTAAATAAGATCAACCCAATATAATGCACTTTAACATGGTAAAACCTACAATTCACTTCTTAAATAGGAAAATAAATTATTTTTGTTCTTTAAAAAATAACATAAATTACATATTTAAATTATAAATTAAGATTCATTTATTATTTAATATGTAATATTATCACATTAATAAACTATCAAGCTCAAAGAATTGGTACAAACAAAAATCTCCTCTAAAAAATTATTTTACAAAATAAATTATACTCACCTAAAACATTTACTAAAGGTGCAAGTTACTTAATATTAGAAATTAGTTTTATTTAATTATTTTTATTTTTTAATTTAATATAACCCAAGTTATTAAATAAAATTTCATTTTTCATTTAAATATAGATCAGCCCAATATAATGCACTTTGGCATTGCCACTGCCTAGATCATGTAAGCAGCAAGTTAAGTTGCGACCATTACCTCACTACTAACTAACTTTATTTGTATTAATGATTTATTAATCTAAGTAAAAAGAAATTAAGTCTTTTTAAATAAAATCTCAAATTCAAATGTTGTGAATAGAAAAACAGACGCCGTATCAGATATCGAGAAGTTAATACAAAAAAAAAAACTTTATTTGTACTTTATATAATTTAAATTTAAAAATTATATTTTCATATAAAAATAAATTATTAACTATTTAAGTAATAGTGCTATAATATTTTGATTATTTGAAAATTTAGTCTGATTCTAGAGAATAATCTAATGCTACAGCCTTGAAACAAGTTAATTGTAAAAGGGGAACACAAAAGTGTTTTCTAGTTTTTCTAATTTCTGAACTTCAAGCCAAGTTGTGAACTGCAATGAAGGGCATAAGAACACTCCCCATCCACAGCTTCCCGTCTATCTCTTGGACTTCACTAATGGTTTTAACAACCTTCCCCTTACTATCCTCCAAAATCTGCAAAAGCTTTCCCTCCTGGCTGTATTTGACTACCACTGCATGATGCCTCCCCTGTATCAGAAGCAGATACTGAACATTTATTGGAATGGGGAGCTTGAGAATGAATGTCCTGAATTTTGGGTATAGTGAATTGATGTAGGTGTACATGGACAGCCTGCAATGGAGTGCCACCCAAAAGTCACCATCTTTATTAGTCCGGACATTGTCAGGGAATCCAGGGAGGATGGCTAGTTCCTCTGAACTCCCTGCTTTCTCACCTTTCAACCAATACTTGCGTAATCTGCATGCATTCAACAAACAAGCTTGTGATGTCAAAATGATGTCCTCCGTGCTAATACAATATATGTTATGTTAAGGTAAGTAAAAGTAGCTGTGGATATACCTGCCAGTACATGCTTCACAGAAAACAAAGAAAGATCCATCCTTGCTTAGGGAAACACCATTAGGAAATTGGAGATTTCGGACAAGAACAGTTGTTTCTTTTGTCCTTGGATCATACTTCAGAATCCTCCCGCTATCCTCTGCTGAGAAAACCACCTGCAAGAAGTTCCTGAAGAATACAATTTTGTCACGGATATCATCCATACAAAGACGTACAAGCAGCATTTTTCATTCAAGCAAACTTAAAATAACACAAAACTTGAGTACATCTTTGATGGTGTCCACTCTCCAACTCCAATTCCAATCAAATGAAAATATGAGTAACACATAATGAAGGATTGACCAATTGAGATCAACCAATCCAAGATTTCTAGAAAATTAAGTATCTCCATTTAAAAAGATAACCAGAATTTTTAAAATGTTGTTATTGTGTTCTAACAGGACAATATTTTGTTCAAGCCAAAGGTATGTGAGCTCTTAGAAAGAGGAATATCATTAGAAGCCTACCTTCTTTGGTATTTGCTGCTGCTATCTGTGAAATAGACATTTCCTTGATCATCGATGTCAAGGTCATTGGTAAACCTCAGTGGTACTCCTTCTGCCTCACTTGCAAGTGGTGTTGCCAATCCACCATCTCGCCCTACCTTCAACAATCCAAAATATGCGTCTGCAATGTACAAATCACCAGTTTTCTTATCAAACCGGAGTCCCAAAGGCCTGCCACAGATATGCTCATTTGACAGGTAACTTGAAGGCGATGGCTTTGTGTCACATAGCTCGGACCTAAATCCCAAATTAGAAATGAAAAATGAGTTTATCAGATTATGAACAAAATTATGAAAGCAAATGACCAAACTTCAGGGTAGTTCATATCTTTTGATCAAACCAGATAATAGTGCTATATTAGATTAAACAAGTACCAATTACGCACCGTCCAGTAGGTTTAATGTATGATCTGATGTATGGCATTACATCAGATAATGCCCTTCTAATTTTGTTCTGTTAAGTGGGAAAATCTCATATCGAGTATAAAAATAAAAAACTTGTGGGTTAAATACAAAAGAGGGCTACTCCACCTATTGTCAATTGGTTTTAGGTTGGATGCAAGTCTTGTGTTGAGCCCACATGCAGGATTTTCAACATGGTATCAGAGCTCAATTTCTACCCTAGGAAGCCCATTAACCCACATAATAAGACTCAACATTCATAGCGGACCTACACGTGAGGGGGCGTGTTAAGTAGGAAAATCTCACATTGAGTATAAAAATGCACGTGAGGAGGCGTGTTAAGTGGGAAAATCCCACATTGAGTATAAAAATAAGAAACTTGTGGGTTAAATATAAAGAGGACTACTTCACCTATTGTCAATTGGTTTTAGGTTGGATGTAAACCTTGTGTTGAGCCCACATGCAGGATTTTCAACATGTTCAACAGGCACAACTATTCTATTCTATTATCATGATGGATGGCATTGCCATGTATAAATATGATGTTTCCTATAAAATTAGCATTAAATTACAACATGAAATTTACAAAACTCATTACTCATTAATTACCAGCAATTACAAACCAAAAAAAATAAAAAAACACTGGCAAGAACTGAAGGACTGACCTATTGTTTGAAGTGTAAGCAAAATCCTTCCACTTCTGACCATCCCAGAACACAATCCGGCCATCAGCAACCCCAGTGTAGGGGCCACGTCCAAGAGGATCAAAGGCCATGCTCTCAGGACCCTGCACCTGGTTCAGGAACTTGATCTCAGATTTCTGAAGGAAGTTTTGAGTGTCCTTCTCCTTTGGAACAGTGGACCATGGAGGCATGTCGACATAGTAGGCCTCAAAGTCAGGGAATTCAGAAATTGCACTGTGTTTGAAAGGGTCTATCCCGCAGTACAGGGCAAGAAGCAGGAACAGCCCACCAACAATTCCCGCTGGAGTCATTGCTTCCCAAAGCACAAGAAATTGAAAGAAAGTGGATGTTAGTACTTTGGTTGGACTTGGATCAGCTAGGTTATTATTTTGTATTGAAGGTGCAGGTAGAGCACTGCTGAATGCTGGTTACTGATTATGCCTCTGGTAGGACTATAGTTGATTTTAGTTTTTTTCAGTTGAGATATTGTTAAAAAGATTTGCAGTTGAGATATAGGTAAGTCAAATGTTTATTTTCCTATTGAGAAATTGTGTTTTTTTTTTTTTTTTTGCAGTTGATTACGCCTTAGTCACAAGTGGTGTTGCCAATCCACCTTCAGGCCCCACCTTGAACAATCTAAAACATGTATAACTCGCCAGTTTTCTTGTCAAACCTGAGAGCCAATGGTCTGCCACAGTTTGTGTTCATTTGGCAGGTAATTCAAAGGCGATGGCTTTGGGTTACATAGCACCAACCAGAATCCAAAACAATTTCATTGAGTTCAGATCATTTTGTTCATTAAGCACAACTTCTCTCTTCTGCCTTATTGATGGATGACATTGCCAATGTAGTTGAATGTATCAACAAAAAATAGCACTGTATTACCTCATGAAAGATTTAAGGACTGAAGAAACCTAACTTGTGCGGGAAAAAAAGAAAAGAGCACAAAAACAAAAAACCATGAGCAAGAACTCAACTGACCTATTGCTAGAAGTATAAGCAAAATCATTTCACTTCTCACCCGGCCATTTGCCACCAGCAACCCCAGTGTAGGGGCCGCGTCTTAGAGGGTCGAAGGCCATGCTTATTATCAGGACCCTGAGCCTTGTTCAAGAACTTGGTGCCAGATTTTTGCAGCAAGTTTTGAGTGTCCTTCTCCTTTGGAACAGTGGACCATGGAGGCATGTTGGTATGGTAGCCTCAAAGTCTGGCAACCCAGAAATTAAACTTTGCTTGAAAGGGTCTATGCCGCAGTACAGAGCAAGAAGCAGGAACCCCTGGCGACGTCAATGCTGCTAATCTAAGAAGCAGAAATCACTTTTGGGT